TTATAGAGAAGTATTTAAAATTTTTATAATTAGTCTGAAGTTTGCTGAAAATGTCTATAGATTGAAAAGTAGATAGGAAACCGTTCAATTGACTGCAAATTGTCCAGGTTTTTAGTTGAGGTTTTTTGTACGCCGATTTGCAGCGTAAATCAATTGTAGCCATGAGCTCACCCGCACTGACAAAAATGGATTTAGATTGATTTTAGTATGAAAAAAGTATGCACGTGAAATTGAAATCGATTTGTGTTGTAAAAAACTAAGTTAATCAAAAAGAAAAGTTCAGATCAATTTGGATCGATTTTAAATCGATTTTAAATCAATTTAAATCGACCGGAAACCATTTCTGTCAGTGCGGGTAGAAGCTACATGTTGAACGTCAGGAGAAGCTAGACTACTTCCGCCTTTTTGCAGTTTTGCAGTCCAGGCTCAGCTGAAAATCCTATATAGTCATGGCATCAGTCTAATTTTCTGATGTAACAAACTGGTTAAAAAAATAAAAGGTAAAAAAAATTGAACAATTCAAAAATCTACAGTCGTCCTTTTAAAGTAGAAAAAGAACATTTTTTTAGAAAAAAATTTGTCAAATGAAACAAGAATAGCCGGTTGCTGTGGGACGAAAACGAATGTTCCGACCACATTCACAATGAAACTATCAAAAAACTTGTTTATTTAATTTTTAGATTAGAGTCTTTTGTGTGCGCAGTCTAACGAATGAGCTATGAAAACGCGTAGAAAAATATTGATTTAGGCAGAATTTACAACAGTTGTCTAGAATAAATGAATAACGTACAAATAATTCTAAAAAAAACTTTTTCTACAGCATTCTGTTATTTAAGTGAAATGTTTCTTAAATCTTTGCCGGAAAGTTTTTTGCCAAGGTAGCGCTTAAAACCAATTTTTTTTTGGCCCAAATCAACAGCTTTTTTATTTTTTTATACGCTAATAGCTTGAATGAAACTCCAAAGTTTCACTTCGGCCGTTTTTTCTCAACACGCGGCAATTTTTTGAATTTTCTTAAGATAGTTTGAGTCACAACTGAAAGAACTTCAATTTGATATATCACCCACCCTATTCGAATGATTATCTGTGGTACCTGATTTTGCCTGGAAAACAATAGAAGAGTAAATGACAAAAAACTAAAAAACACCCGAAAAAAAGATTTGTCCCAATTTTCAATGGTATGACAGACAGAACAAAACATCAACACTTTAAATTGCTGCTATGCACCCCTTTAATTCCTTTCTAGTGCCACTAAAAGTCATGGATGAGGTGACCAAAGTGTTTCAAATCACTGCCTTATTGATGCAGGTAACTGTTGAGGCTCAGTGATGTTCTGCCCCGCTTTGAAAGAAAATTTGAATGCGTTACAATTGACTTCAGGTGGGAATTAATTCAGATGCAGCCAGTAATTCAGCCTTACGACAGTTCACGAGACTGCCCAAATGCGAATTTCAAAACTTTTACATTGACTGAACGTTTTGAAATTAGAAACCAACTTTGTATCTTTGAGGTAGAGCTGCTTTTTTATCACTTATTCGAATCATGTTTAACTAATTTGGCCCAATAAATTAGTTCATTCACGAAATAAAACACGCTAGGGCTATGAACAAATGCTAACGGTACAAAGTTGTCCCATGGAACCTCAATTGGCTATGGCTAGACGCCGGTTGCTCTAAAATTCAGTTTCGTTTGTTGTTTTTCTAGTAAAGAGAGATTGAAACTAAAACTCTCCGACACCATACAATGAACACCCAAAGTACAAAAATCCTATTATTACCACTGCATTTTGTTTGCTAAGATTGAAATTGTATCAAAATCATTAATTAAATCTGCGTCTAAGACCACCATCTAATGCGGTTGCTTCACTAACTTTCAACGAATGAAATTAATGCTTTCCTGTTGAGCCTAAAAACCAAACAAAATATGCAATTTGTTCGCCTGGATTAAGATACTACGTATAACTTGGTGAGATTCTAAGAATTCGGAGGAAATAATGAAAGGTTTAACTTTCGGTGTTTCAAAAAATCAAATCGATTAGATACAAAGTTGACTGCTTTATGGTTCGCACAAAAGAAATTTAACAAAAAAGCAAACCAAAAAATTGCCAGGTTGCTGAAAAAATGGACCAGAGCTTGATAAACGAGCAGCCAATGCCATACAAAACAGGAGCACATTGGAAACTCAGAAAAAATGCTAAACTGCGACCAGAGGATAGAAATGAACAAAAACTGGGGTATAACACCAATGCCATTACATTTTGGAGGTACAGACGACACCGCTAAAGCTAAAAAAGAAAATAACTGATGCATTTAACGAGTCTCCAAATAAACTACCCAAAGAATTAAACAAATATTTCAACATTTTCATTCAAGGTCTCTATTTATACGCTTCCCGATTTACAACACTCCCATTTTGTTTGTCTGACATTTGCTTATTCAGCGACAGCTTTGACAGCTAAATGTTTTTTAAATAGCCGTTTTGATTTTTTGAATAAAAAGGATAACTTAAATCTGTAGAAAATAGTTCTATTTCTTGCTCCAAAGCATTTACGCTTTAATTCGTGTTCCGAAATCTTCCGATATGTTCAATTAACCAGTCTCCCAAGGTTTTTATTTAAATAAACGATTAACGTTCCGACCTCTCGGAGGTAAGGAAAAACTCTTTCCGTGGGTCGCTAATTCATTTCAAGCATCCAAATTCAAATCTAACAATTTTTCAATCCCGACCTTCTAGCTATCAGGGAGAGTAATCCGCATATTATTGATCAAACTGAACCAAATTGAACCCAAGAGCCATCACTGGGAAGCCAAATAAAAATCCCGTTTATTTGTAATATTTAGGAGGCCTACTTCCCAAGCCAAGCTCCCATCACTGCAATTTTCTTCTGTAACTACGATTCTTTAGTCTGATAGATTTTCTATGAATAGCGCATTCGCCAAGCTAACTTAGACTCATTGTTTTGCCAAGTCCACTCTAATAAATTCTACTATGCCATTGTTACAGTGAAACAGATATATCCCTTTCAGCTTCTGCTTCATTTCCCATTAGGTAAATTTTCTCCTACTTACAAATAGGGTGACCATTTCTCATTTCCAAAGTGTTGGGCTGGGGTATACGGCACTTTCCAGTGATAAACCTAATGTTTTTTGTACAAATTTGGTCCTGAAAGCCCAAAAGTCAATTACAGTTCCATCTAATTTCATCGGTTGCAATATTTCTTTTTCGGTTTTTTAATCCCATAGGGTTACTACCTACCAATTTTCATCCATATCCCATTAATAATTCCCAACTTATCCAATATCATGTTTCTCGGAAAAAAGCTATTAACACGGGAAGAAGATGCCGGAGGCGTTTCACTCATACTGGTCCAATTTTGGTGTTGTGTTCTAGCGTCTCTTGCTGTAAAAAACTCAATATGCTCTGGCTCAATACTTTGCCTAAATTCCTCATTTCCGGTATAATGGGTGTTTATGCCATGTCCTAATAACTTCGGGTCCAACCGTCCCATTTGTTTCAAACTAACACAAATGATATACTTTCACAGTACCTATGATATCTCAGATTTTTGGCATCCTGCGTTTAGTGGAGGCTGAGAAACGACTTCCTGGAGGCAGGTGGGAACTATTTGCCTTAGGCATAACACAGGAAGTTGGTGTCTAGGGAGTCTGGGGTTCTGAGCTTAAGCTTCCCTCAACTAGGTCTATAACATACTAAACTTTGGTCCCGTCTCAACCGATAACTGCGGAGTTCTAAATTGGCTATTTGCTATCAGTTTTTCCACGGGGTCTGAGGGGCTTAGATTTTTCCACCCGGCTCGGATCATCTCAAGTATCCGTCCTATGAATTTCGTAAAACTAAATTCCTTAGTTACAATTAAGGGGGGCTGCAAATCTTACTTGACCTGAGTTTTCAGCCTTATGTTGGACTATATCTTTGAAGATTTGAACTTTTTTGGGGCCAACCATTTGCTTGCTGTTCTACTTAACTTATTTATTAGTGAATACCGTCTACGTACTATTCATTAGCTTACACATTATACCACGCAATTCCCAAGGTAAAACTCTAAATCAAGTTCTCAGTTTGCCAAAAAAGTACTAGGATCACCGATTATACATTTAATCACCTAACTCAATGCATGGTTGTTCTATTATATAATGCTATATTTATGGTTCAGTAAATTAAAGTATAATCATCAGATCATATGAAATTCAAGTTTGGAACAATCAAAGCAAAATTTGTGATTTAAAATATAGACGGCGTATTCATTTCTATGACATCGAGTTAGTTTTGAATTGAGACTACAGCCAACTTTGAAGTCAGATAACTTTTCAATTGTGATTTAGCTGCTGATGGCGACGCGTAGGGTATAGTCGTTGCCGGATATTTTCTGCTGTCTTCCAATTTATATGTTAATGCTCGCTGCCGTTAAAGAGAATTGGGAATGGTGAAGAAATTCCATGGATTGATATTATCGGACAAAATGCTTTTTTCTTTCGAATATGGCGCACAGGCGTTGCAAATCCAACGCTCAATTTTCATCTGTCTTGGAAAAAACTCTAACTTCAGGAATATTCTCATCATACTCAAGGCCCTTTATTTTATACTGTATGCTTTTCAATCTGCCCAGGTCCCTTGACTGCAATTCGAATGCTCGCTTTGAAACTTTAGTCAACCTGGCAAGATTCTCCCACTCAGAGTTCCCGTTCGTACCGCTTAGTTTGCAAGAGAAAATATTTTCAAGTACTCTATCGTCCTCAAAACGCAAGACATATATAATTTGCGACCCTGTTAAAACGCACTCAACTCTAGTTGGAAATTTTTTTAATAATCAATTCTGAAAGTCGATATTATTTTTCGTTATCTAAAACTTTGTAAGTAAGTTTTTTTTTCATCCATATCCCTACCAATTTTCATCCATATCCCATTAATAATTCCCAACTTATCCAATATCATGTTTCTCGGAAAAAGCTATTAACACGGGAAGAAGATGCCGGATTAGCTCAAACATTATACCACTCAATTCCCAAGGTAAAACTCTAAATCGAAATCTTAGTTTACCGAAAAAGTACTAGATCACCGATCTTACATTTAATCACCTAGCTCAATGCATAGTTCTTCTTTTATATCCACTATAATTATGGTAAACTAAATTAAAGTATCATCATCAGATCAAATGAAAGTCAAATTTGGAACAATCAAAGCAAAATTAGTGATTTTAAATACAGACGGTGTGTTAATTTTTATAACTTTGAGTTAGTTTTTATTTGAGTCTACAATCAACTTTGAAGTCAGATTTTTTTTCATATATGATTTAGCTGCTGATGGGGACGCGTAGGGTATAGTCGTTGTCGGATAATTTCTGCTGTCTTCCAATATATGTGCTACTACACGCTGTCGTTAAGAGAATTGGGAAGGGTGAAGAATTCCTCAGACGCTCCAGACCAAATTGTAATTTTCTGACAGTGTGCCTTTTCGCTTTCGAATATGGCGCATAGGCGTTGCAAATCCAGCGCGCAATTTATATTTTTCTTGGTAAAAACTCTAATTTCACGAAAACAATCTAATTTCACGAGGTCTCCTTTCAGAATTTCTAGGCTTTCCAATCTGCCCAGGTCCTTTGACTTCAACTTGAGTTCTCCCTGTGAAGTTCTAGTCAAACAGTTAAGTCTCGCCAACAGCCAATCCCCGCTCGTACCGATTATTTTGCAAGATAATCCAAATATTTCAGGTTCTCTAGCGTCCTCAACACGCAAAATGTATGTAATTTTCCTTTTCTTCTCTGTTAAAACACACTCGACTCTAGTTAGAAACTTTTTTAATAGTCAACTTTGAAAATCGATATTATTTTTCCTTATTTGAAACTTTGTAATCTAAATTTTTTCTTTAATTTTCGTTAAAAACCGAAATCAGTCGTTTAGATTTAAATTGTTGCTAAATTCATGAGCCGCAGACGTTTGAAAAAACTTTTTCAGGCACTTTCGTATGTTTTGACTTAATAAACAACCTCAAAAATAAATTGGCTTCGGAGGCGCCTTAAGAATATAATAGAACCGGTCAGCCAAAACTGGATGTCGTGATACCAAAGTAGTAGCGGGGGACCTTTTTAACACATCCATTTCCAAAATCGTTCCATAATCCAATACTTGCAGCAACTTAGATAAATTTTACCGAAGGTTTGTGGTTTTTAATGATAATCGAACTGCTATATTTCACCTTCAAATATGCAAAAGCATAAAAATTGAAAAATTGTATGATTTTCTAATCTGATGGTTTTGACACTAAGTTCACTGAAACTAAATATATTAGATCATAACTCTATCCTGCCAATGAAATGTTGTCAATCAGAGATGTTTAGAGAATGAAAATCATATCATTTTTTAAAAATTTTATCTCCAAAAACTAAGAATTACCGTCATGTGTAGTTTCGTCCCTGCCACAAGCATTGGCCACAGAAGCTGTTGTTTTGGGCGAGGAAGGTGTTGCATCCAGGGCAAGTAATGCGTTTTGTATACAGTCTTCGACATCTTCGCAGGACTGAGCCATGGCTGTTAGTTTTGCCAGTTTCTGTTTTGTTTGAACATTTTGCACTTTCAAGGCTTCCAGATCCTTTCTGATACTCGTCTCAAGGGTTTTGGCTTGGGGGAAAGTATTCGTGTTTTTTATCTTGTTTTTCTTATCCATCAAAGCGTTCCATTTGTCCATTGTCATCACCAATTCCGAATTGAGGTCAACTGATTCACTTATCACTTTATCAACTGTCTTTGGACAGCTTGCAATCAACTTAAGCGACTTCTCCATTTTTGCAGTCAATTGATTAAGCGGGTTGTCCATTAAAACCACATGATGTGATCCATGATCGTTTCTCCAACAATCCTTGCAGATACAAACTTTGCAGCCCGATTGCTCACAAAAATACTCTTTCGCTTGTTTGTGAGTTTTGCATTGTTCATAGCCATTTTGGTTGCTTTGTGCTTGGACAGGTTGCTCGTTCCCCTAAAATATTTTGCGGAAAAACATGTTATTGGAAATTCTTTATTATTGGAAATTCACCAAAATCTTTTTCATTTTCTTGCTTAAAAAGATATATATGTAGTTTACGTATCAATTTTCATATCAAACTACTCGTTTAGAGACATCTTATCTTCCATTTTGCTATCATCATTGGGTCGTATTCTAACTGTTTTTTTTCAGCGAAAATGTGGAACTACAAAAGAGTCTAATGGTTCAGTCAAACGAAATTTTTTCTGTCTTCAGTAAAACTGCCATGTTTACTTCAAGAAAACTCTTTTTCATTTTGAAAAAATGCTCGCATAATTTCGTTTTTGTTTTAGATCGATTCAGAGCTAACGAAGGCAAATATTAGTTTCGAGTTGATCTTTTGTGACTTATCTCAAAATTCAACTGCGTCACAGCAAAAATAGATACCACAGATGAAGAATTGATTTCTTTTTATTTAACGAACTAAAAGATGAAAGACATCTAATACATTTCAGGTAATTTTTAGGACAAAAATTTCCACACTTGTAAGATCGAGGTTTTTTTGTTTGTGTTGAGGCTCTTTGTGAAGCTTTAAATTTATTTTTTGGATTGCATTTCTCTTGAGAAAGCAGTAGAAATTGAAACAAGACCACTCGTGTCAGGGCAAACTCCTGCATGTTCCGACTTTCTTTTAAGGTCTATCGAGCAGTGTTCCCTTTACAAAAACTGATGTATTTTTCGCAAGAAAATAACTTTTTAAAGATATCCCCCGCATGTCATATGAAGTCAAAATTGATATATTTCGCTCCTAGTAACAAAGCAATTATGGCAATTCGCCTGCTTCAACTTCTTTGGAACGATTTCTGAGACGGATTCAATCTCCACTTATTCGCGCGCTTTTTGGCAAAGTGGCAGTCTTTAAACCCCAATAGTTTTACGAAAAAAGATTACTGGTAAAATATCGTTTTACATTTGAGCTCAGGACAACAATACCTGTCGGATGATATGAAAAATTACCATCAAACTCAGATGAGAAAACCACTTTGTCAGCAATCAAAACTTGTGGAGCAACCAATAGTTGGTATTTTTCAATGTTGGTTTTTGTTTCAATACTTTCCTCAGTCAATCTGTTTATAAACCCATAATTCTTCCATAAAAATTTTCTAGAAGTCTAATAAAAGGGAGCAAATTGTGCCGTTTCAGTAGTTTTTTTTGCGAACTATATTCGTGTTCAACGAAAAAAAAATTTTTAGAAAATTTATTCTAAAATAAAAACAATAATTGCATACCAAAAAATATAGTTTTAACATTTGAAATTTAAAAAGTTTTTCTTTTTTAAAACTCATTCACAGTTTAATGTAAGAAAATTGTTTTTTTTAAGAACTAGAATAGTAAATTTTAGTACAATTTTGCTGTATTTATTTCAAATGAAAAAGCTCAAGACATTGACTGCATAACATTTGCTTTAAAAAATGAGCTAAGAACAAATCAACGAAAATTGTTTTCTTGGTGTTTCCTTTAAATTTAAAATTACCTCTGCGGCAGCTTTCAATTCATAATTAACGGTGCATTGGCTTTCATGCTGAAGTCTTTCCTCAATCGGAGTTCTGCAAACCGAGCATTCTCTGGACTCAGATAGCAGTACACCTTGTAAGCAAGGTTTTGGATTTGAACAGTATGAATGTCCGCAATTCAAAATACGAGGATTCACAAAACGTTCGAGACAAATGCTGCATTCGAATAGGTTTCCAGCCTCGGCCATAAAATTCCAGATGTATGGCGTAGAAAACAAATGAATGATTTGATTGTATAAACTGTTTATCTTACTTCAGAAAAGAAACTCGAGAAGTGCGTGCGTTTGAGAGATACACGTCTTGGTTATGTATGTTTTGATTTTATCGCAAAAATTAACTCAAATTTGGTCATGTTTTCAAAAACAGCCATATCGTGGACTTATTTGGAATTTTTGTTTGAGTTTTCTTTGAAATAGTTTTCTTAATATATTACAAACTAGCAAAGTACTGCGAGAGCAAAACTATCACGAGATCTTTTTGTGCTGCTTAATTAGACTTGCATACCTTCAATTAGACTTGCATACCAAGCTGCTTGTTACTACTGATAAAAAGCTTAAACTAACATCATTTAACGAACATATTTAGTCAATTGCCTCAGTATTACAATTTTTAGTGCTTTCTTCGTATTTTTTCTGTAAAATTATGTTGAATCAAACTTTCGTTGTAATCAATATATTCATTATTTTGTCAAAAAAAGGTTCCTAAGTTTAATGCGCAAAGCTCTACTTTTAACATCTTAGTGTTGTTATAACTTTTTAGATGCCCTCCAGATACACTTGTACACAAAATACGGACGCAAGTAAAAAACACTTTTTTCAATCGCACATATACTTTGATCAAAATCTGTATTTTTGGGCGCGCTCTTTTCTTCAAAATAAAAACTCAAACATATATGTGACAGTCTCCTAATTTTAACGCAGCTGAAATGTTTTAGTTGAAACCTCCAAAAGTTATTGATTTTAAAAAAGATGCAGCAATGGCTTTGGATTTTGAGTTGTATTATTTCGATCAACAAACTTGATTATGAGCTGATTTAAATTGGTCATCACCATCCTTAGAACATTGAAAAAGCTTGCATAGTGTAAGAGATCATATTTTTTGAGCATCGCCGTTTCTAAGAAAAGTAGGTTTTATACCCGATGTTTCAATTGGCGATGTTTCGATTGGTTTCCAAATTTTAAAAAATGGCTAATTTCTTCTCTTTAAAATGAAAGATTTGCCAAATTAGCTCCGGTTTAGATTACAAATTTCGTCCATTCTCTGCCTCAACTCATTTCTAGCCTTTTGCCGCCTTATTTCATTTCAAGCAGCATTAGTTTCTATAAAAATGTTCAGCACTCGTAGCCGTTCACTATCGTTTCGATTTTTTATCTGCTGCTTGAACAGTGGAACGCCTGATTTCACCCTAGCGCACCTTGTTCAAGTTCTCCAGGATGTGGTCAATCTTTTTTGAGCTGAGAACCGGTCAAGACTGACCGTTCCAGAGATTTTTTTATCTAAAATAATTCCACCAACGAAAATTTAGGGAAGCGATTGATCACCGGTAAAAGATGTGTGTCCGTCCCGTTATCAGTTTCAATTGCACCCATGTGATGTAACTGATTTTCCTGAAACAAAACCTCATGCTAATTCATCATGTTTTTAGTCTCCTGAGTACTGCTTTCCAATCTAGCTTTGTGTCCTCCAAAATCATTTCGGCTAAAAGATTTTAAGTAACTTTTCGAGGTTGAAAATTGCATTGCTCTATAGCCGTAGGGACAGTCAACATTTATCTTTCCTAAAAGACGTTCCGTTGACACGGTTCTTATTGTATTTTCCTCTTCTTCATCTGCTACTCTAATCTAACAAGACATCTTGAATGTGCCATCTTGAACTCTGTAAACTCAGCTACCTCGGGGTTTGTTGTTACTGTCTTTTCTTCAGATTTCGGTTCAAGCCACTATGAGTCCTGGCTGGGATTCCTGGCTCTGCTCCTTTGATAATGACCACCGCTTCAGTTTGGCGAACAAATTGAATTGTCTCATTGGTTTTACCTGAGTTAGTTTTGACATTATTGACGAGCTCTACTTAACTTTCGTTGCATGTTTTTGTTTCGCCTCACTGTTTAGATTGCATTCTCTTCTCATTGTTGTGGAATCACTTTTCTCTCACTCCTATCACATCCGTCTCCAGTTCCGCTCTCCCGCTTGAAATGTTATTATATTTTATGGAAATGAATCCCTAATTTTGTTATTTTTGATCCATATGTTATTTAAACATTTTCGCAAATTTGAATGCTAAGGTGAAAAAGGCTTTGGTTCATACGTTATTTGATTGTGAGCACATCGGTTTTTGTTCCAGTCGAGGTTTTTATGGTTTTGAATCGGTTTGTTGTTATTACAAATAACTTTGTCCTTGTAACAAAAATTGTACTGTTTGAGTTCCAAACTGTTTTCTGTCGGGTTGAGCTCTAAATTATCACTACATTAAGCACCAATGCCGCCGAGCGCTTCATGAAACTTGTCGATAATGGCTACGAGTTTTTCCAATCATACTCTGATTAATTTTATAGTTGCCCCGAAATGTCCGTGGCCAGTTAATACTGATCTCCTACGTCCTTCTCTTGTAAATGTATGAATTTAAATTGGAAAATCATTAGCAGATCGGCCCATCTCATTGTCTTTGACTGACTCGTTTTTATTTCTATTTTGATCTTTCTAAAACTCTGTGTACATACAGCTGTCCAGTTGATGTTTTACAGTTTCCTTGACCTTTTTTTTTCTTTTTTTTCTGATTTTCTTCTTTCAAAAAAGTTTCCAGCTTTTCTCAGCGCTGCTGCCTTGGGTATGAATTTGAAAAATGATTTTTACTGCCTAAAAACGATCTGAACTGTTGCAGTTTTTCAATGGACTAAATTTTGGTTTTCAGAATTGTTGTTGTTATTACCCATTCAATAGAAAATTGATACCGCAACCAATACCAATTCTTCTGCTTTGATAAAAGTTCACACTTCGATTTTTGAGGCTAGGTTTTTGTCACATAGCGTTACCCTTAAGAATTTAAAAAAATGCATTGATTGGCTGTTTTGCAGCTAGTTTAAAATGGCTATAGCCGTAATTGAGATCTAAAGTTGAGAAAATTGATGTTCCGATATTTTCTGCAGTAATTGTTTTATTCACCCCGTGCCCTTTTTATTTTTGGTTTTTGTTTGCCGATCTATGGCTTTTGCGTCTAATGAGAATATTTCAGTGTCATATTTTTTTCACTGTAATAGAAATTGGCTAGCAAAACAGTCACTGGTATGTTTGTCAAATTTCATTACGTATCCTTCCTCCAGTAGTTTTCACTTTTTTCTTTACTTTCGCTGAAATATGTATCTGGGTACGCCGTCCTTTTTCTTGGATAAGTAAAAGTAGAAATTTAAGTCGCGTAGTAAATTTGTGGTTTTTAATGCCGCTTTTTGCGAAAATGAGATTTCAGTTTTTCTAAACATCTAATCTTCGTACGCACTCCGTTTTTTGTGCCGTAAAAAATAGGATAACCACTGATATGACCCGTCCTGCTGACTTACTTTTTGCTTTTAGTACTCTTAAAATCGTCATAGGTTTCCCGTTGTAGTCAACAAATTGCACACTAGTTTATAATTTTTCTCTGGTAAACACGCTGATGCTTGCGCGAAATACGATATATTTTTGCGGTGGTCCAACTTATGAACAAGATTGGACTAACTGTGTCCTCTGTCGTGTGAATGATCTGATTATCAACCCTACTTAAGGCCTTAAGGGATTTAATTTTCGTGAATCTAGATTCTCTTCCATTTTCATTTTTTCAAATCTGGATCTGTGCTCCTTGTCCAGTTGATGACTTTTCTGTCAAATCAAGATTTTCTGAATCGTTTCATTCAATAGCAAACATCTCAAAATAATGTTCCTGTCAACCGCGAATACCTCAAGTTCAGCTCAATACTCCGCGTTCTCAACCAAAACACCCCCACTTTTATTGCATTTGACAATTCATCATTATTCTAATTCATCTGTTGAGTTAACACAATTTTGTAAATTGATTCAACTTTCTTAAATTTTAGCAATCCTTTTTTTTCTCTTTTTCTGATTTTCTTCTTTCAATAAAATTATAAAATTTCAAATTTTATCCCAGTGTTACTGATTTGGGAATGATTTTGATAAATGGTTTTTACTGCCTAAAAACGATCTTAATTGTTGCAGTTATTTCGAGGGGCTTAACTTTCCGGTTTCTTTGGTTTCAGATTTTTTTAATTAATCCTTCAATGGAAAATTGATCCTCAACCAGTTCACAGTTTTAATAAAAGTGTACACTTCGATTTTTTAAGGATAGGTTTTTGTCGTAGCATACCCTTAAGACTATTGAACTAGCATTAGTTGGCTTATTCTGAAGCTAGTTTAAAATAGCTGTAGCCGTAATTGAGATCTGAAATTAGGAAAAATAATGTTCTTCTTTTTTCTGCAGTAATAGTTTTTACTCACCCCGTGCACTTATACTTTTGTTTTTGGTTGCCGATCTATGGCTTTTGCGTCTGATGACAATTTTCCAGTGTCATTTTTGTCACTGTAACAAATATTGTCCTACAAAAGAGTCACTGGTACATTTGTCAAGTTTTATAACGGATCCTTTCTCAAGTTGTTTTCATTTTTTTCTTCTTTTTCGTTTCAGTATATAGTGTCCTTTTTCTTGATTAGTTAAGAGTGGAAAACTATTTTGGCTCATTTAAAGTTTGGTTTTTGTTGCCGGTTTTTGCGAAATTGAAATTTTTAGTTTTCTCTTAACAATTTATCTTCGTACGCATCTCGTTTTTTGTGCCGTAAATAGTAGGATAACTACTTTTATTTTCAGTGCTCCTAAGTTTGTCATAGGTTTCCCGGTACACTCAACAAATTGCTCACTATTCTTTAGCATTTCCCTAGTAACCACATTGCTGCTTGATCGAAATCCAATATAATTTTAGCCGTGGTCAAATTTATGAACCAGATTGGACTAATTGTGTCCACTGTGGTGTGAATGATCTGGCCGTCAATTTAATTAAAGCGTTAAGATATTTCATTTTTGTGGATCTAGAGTCTCTTCCAGTTTCAACTTTTTTGTCCAGTTGGTGGCTTTTCTGTCAAATCGTGTTTTTCCGAATCGTTTTTGTCAATAGCGAACATCTCAAATTTATGTTTCTGTCAGTCACAAGTATCTCAAACTCATTCTAACATCTCACGTGTTCAACCAAATTTTCCTCTCTTAATGCTTTCGACAATTCACCAGTATCCTAATTCATCTGTTGAGCTTACACATCTTTGCAAATTGACGTAAACTTTTACAATTTTTGCATTCCTCCTCGGAAAAATTTCCAGTCATTTTACTCAAAACATTCGACCACAGCTTGTGCAAGTTTTTTCTTCTTTCTACCTCGGTGCTGTTTCTGTTTTGTCAAAAGTTTTT